TAAACCGAGGACTACCTGCACGTATGAGAGGGGCTTCACACACCTGACCACTTAGCTTCCTGCTTAAATAGTACAACTCTCAGAAAATGCCAGTCACTGGTTTTGTGCCAAGTTTACACCATAGGCATTAGGTTTGAAACTTCAGAACGCGCCCATCATTCGTTCTTAAAGAAAAATTTACATTTCTTCAACTTGCTGAATATAATCAAGGCAAAATGTTCGCCGTCCAATCATAATGTGCAACAAAAAGTAAGCAGAAACAGTGATTATACTCTGCCACCTTTTGGCCAAATAAAGTTAAGAAAAACTTCCTATTAAGTCTGCTTCTCTATCTATGTCTCTGTTTGTACTTGAGCCACGGTGGCGCAGTGGTTAGAGTGCAGTACTGCAGGCTACTTCTGCTGACTGTTGGCTGCCTGCAATTTAGAAGTTCGAGTCTCACCAGGCTCAAGGTTGACTCAGCCTTCCATCCTCCGAGGTGGGTAAAATGAGGACCCAGATTGTCGGGGGCAGGAGGCTGGCTCTATAAACCACTTAGAGAGGGCTGGAAAGCACTGTAAATCGGAATATAAGTCTAAGTGCTATTGCTATTGCTACATACAATATGTCTACACAGGAAGAAGAAGAAAAAAACAGCCCGTTTCTAGCAGAACTCTTACCTTCATAACCACATTTCCAAGCTGTTGCACAAGCTATTTCCAAATCTACTTTGGAGAACTGTACGTGGAAGCTTGCTTCAAAAATTGTTGAAAGCCAAATGTTATGCAGGTACCCCTCAACTTACAACCATTTGTTTAGTGACGGTTGGAAGTTACAATGACACTCAAAACTATGACTTATGAGTGTTTTTTCACACTTACGACCATTGTAGCATGCCCATGGTCAATTTAAGAACTGTCTTGCTTAGCAACAGAAATGTTGAGCTCAATTGTGGTCGTAAGTTGAGGACTACCTGTATGCATTGCCAGTCTTTGTGTCTCGTTCCTCTTGCATCAATTCGTGATCCATCCACCATTCCATATCTCTATATGGAGCTGTCTACGAAGGCCACCCAGGACTGAAATTATACAAAATGTAGTGGTCCGTTTACTCACTGGCAGTCTGTTTTCATTACACCTGTGCAGAAATAGTCTTCTGGACATAGTGTGGGTTTTAAAACTAGACTTTTTGTCACCGGGACAAAACGGGTTTTGTACAAGGATAACCACCGTGCAATTATTAAATGCACAAAGATGGAAAACCCACCATGGACAAATGGTTGGTGAAGATGACAGCATTTGCAGAGATGGTAATGTTGACTTGTAGAGAAAAGACATTTGTGAATGACTGGAAACCTTTTATGGAGCTTTTGCTGAAAATTGGAAAAAAAAGATGAACTTGTAATTTATGGGTTTGATAGTTAGAAAGGGTAGAACATAGAAAAAGAGCTACCGTACAAGAAGATAAAATATACATGCATTTATAACCAGGGGTGGGCTTCAAAAATTTTAGCAAGGGGTTCTCTGGCTGGTTGCTGGGTGGGCGTGGCCATAGTGGGGGTGGCGTTTTTGCCTTCCGCGGGTTCCGGAGGCTTTCCTCAAGCCTCTGGGAGGGTGAAAACAGCCTCCCCAGGCTCCGGAGGCCCTCTGGAGGCCAGAAACAAGCCTGTTTCCGGTCTTCCCGAACTTCCGGTGGGCCCGTTTTTCACCCTCCTCGAGCCTCCGCGCACGTCCTGCACTTACCTGCATCCAAAACATGCCGTGTGGGGTCTCCTGTGAGGGGTGGGGTGGGGTGGGTGGCCAGCCAGGAGTGGGATTTGGGGGTTCTCCAAACTGCACAGAATCTTAGCTAGAGGTTCTCCCAAACCCCTGCGAACCCCCAGCAGCCCACCTCTTTATAACCGGTGTAGAGATTGGAAGCCATTTTTTTTGTGTGTTCTTTTTCTTTTTTTATTCTTAATTATGGTTTGTCACACAGCCAGCCAGATGTTTCAGACTGGATTTGGAATTTTTGCCTACCGATTAAGTCCTCCCCAAGGACCTTGGATAGTAGATGTTGATGCTTGATGTGTGTTAAAGGTATTGTTATAGAACTTAACTCTTCCGGGTTAAAGCTGCTTTTGCAATTTTGCAACACGTGAAGTATTAGTACCATTTTATAAATCCTTAGTAAGACCACACCTGGAATACTGCATCCAGTTATGGTCACCACGTTACAAAAAGATGTTGAGACTTTGGAAAAAAAAGTGCAAAGAAAACCAACTAAGATGATGAAGAGCCTGGAGACTAAAACCTATGAAGAACGGTTGCAGGAATTGGGTATGGCCAGTCAAGAGAAAAGAAGGACTAGGAGTGACATAATAGCAGTATTCCAGTGCTGTGTCCTGTTTCCTATCTGGTCCGTTCCTGATGCGGGAGCTGTTGTGGCCCATCAGCAGCCTGTGCAGCTAGTAGCTGATTCCGACAGTGAGGAGGCTGGTGTGGTGCTGCGCCAGCAGCCTGTGCAGCTGGCACTCGAGTCGGACAATGAGGAGGCTGGAGAAGATGTGCTGCCAGAGGCGGGGATTCAGCCAGGGCCTTCAGAACCTCCAGAAGCTCCTTTAAGTGAAGAGGACGAAGAGGAGGAGCCTCTTCTCGATGCACGGGCGCGCAGAGCTGCCAAAAGGCAGGAGTGGCTCCTCAGGAGGAAGTCTCCTCGAGAGTAAGGCTTGGGGCTAATTGGCCACGCCCTTAGCCTATTTAAGGAAGGACGATGAGTGAGGCAATTTGCAGGGAACAAGTTAGTTCACTCTCCTTCGTGTCTGGATCTTAGTTCTTTTATCAGTTACCTGCAAATTGCTTCTGGGCTTTCTGCCAACCATAGTAAGATTACGATTATTTATTCTTTGGAGTCTTGTAGGCTGTTAAGAAAGTTAGTTAACAGCCTTTGTTTGAAAAAGACTGATTTAATTTAGTAAACTAAGGTTTGTACAGACTTTGTGTATGCTGCGTTCTTTGGGGTCCGTAGCTGGGGCAGAACAGGAGCCCAGGCGTGCCCTGATTGGTTGAGCCTCAGCTGGCGCCGAGTATAAAAGAGCTGTTAAAGTGCCAAGCAGGTGCTGCTGTTGTGAGCTGAGCAGTCACCCGTTACTGTTATTGTTAAGTAATAACGTTAGCCTTATGCTCCGTCTCACCTCAGTCTGTCAAAACTCTGTTCCGGGACTTATCCGATATTTGAGGGGCTGCCACAAAGAAAAGGGGGGTCAACTAATTTTCCAAAGCACTGGAGGGCAGGACAAGAAACGATGGATGGAAACTAATCTAGGAGAGAAGCAACCTGGAATTAAGGAGAAACTTTCTAACACTGAGGACAATTAACCAATGGAACAACTTGCTTTCAGAAGTTGTGGGTGCTTCATCACTGGAGGTTTTTAAGAAGAGACTGGACAGCCACTTGTCTGTCTGAAATGGTATGGGGCAGTGATGGCTAACCTTTTTGCCATCGCGTGCCAAAAGCAGGGGGAGCGCGTGTGGGGGGGGTTCAAGCGTGCATGTGTCCACCCATAATTCTATGTGCCTTACCCCTCTGTGCATGTGCGCACGACCCCCTGCGCTCCCCCCACTTTTGGCATGTGATGACACGGTGGGCCTGGTAGGCCCGTTTTTTGCTCTCCCCAGGCTCCAGAGCCTTTCTAGGAGTCTGGGAAGGCCGAAAACGGCCTGCCCACCCCCCAGGAGGCCCTCCGGAGACCGGAAACAGCCCATTTGCCAACTTCTGGTGGGCTCAGGCCTGAAAATCAGCTGGCCAGTGCATGCATGCGCGTCAGAGCTGAGCTCGTATGCCACCAATATGGCTCCGTGTGCCACCTGTGGCACGTGCCATAGGTTCACCATCATGGGTATAGGGCCTCCTGTTTGAGCAGAGGGCTGGACTAGAAAACCCCCAAAGTTTTCTGATTGATTGATTGAATTGACTGATAGTGAATTTGTCAATGCCATTGCTGTTGAAGTAGTACTTCCGCTGTTTTGGGATGGCACCAGGATGCCTATCGTTATTAAGACTATTTTTACTTTCTTTTGCCACAGTCTTTTTATTTCTTTGTAATTTTTTCTCCTCCAGTTCTTTCTTTCATTCTGCTTTACTCATGTCCACAATGCAGACTTTTTTGTCTTTCTTATTGACAATTGTTAAGTCTCAGGTATTACGTATGTGGCAGGTGCCTGTTGAATTCTAAAATCCCAGAACAATTTAGCTTCTTTGTTTTCTATTACTTTCTCTATTTTATGGTCCCACCAATACTTGCTTGCAGGCAAGTGGTATTTCTTGCAGATCTTTCAATGCATCATGATGACTTTGTCACGCCATCATTTTTATTACTTATTTAACACTTTTCTTTCATTTTTAAAATTTTTTACTTTCCTTTTCCTTTGTATCGTTTATTCTGGAAAAAAAAGGTTCTTTAATAAAGATTAATTAAATAAAATGGTGGTTTTGAGCTATGACAAATACAGCGTGGCAAATGCTGACGTGCAAAAAATGATCCTTCTGATCTCAACCAACCTGGTTGCCCCATGAAAACTGTTGCCTGTAAAAGGAGCCAAGGCAGGAACGTGGCAATTCCCGCCCTTTGGAATACCCTCTCAGTTGAAATCAAGCAGCCCTTCCCATCTTGATTCCATCTAAAAATAAGCCCAAAATGCAGTTTTCATCAGCAGAGTATTTGCAGAATGAGTAGATCTTGGGGTGTCCAAGCATGGCTGACTGGGAGATCCTGGAAGTTGAAGTCCACAAGTCTTAAAAAGTTGCCCTTGTTGGACAACTCTGGACTAAATTCTTCTAAGATGAATGCATGCCTGAGCCGTCTTCTATCAGGGTTTGCTACTTAACTTTGAAATTTATTTTTAACTGTGGATAGTTTGCATTTTCGGGACATTCCTACTGCGGATGTTTTATTATTAACCTGTATGAGTCAACCTCCTAAGGTTCTGCATTGTTTGGTGGTATAGAAACTGAAGAACTGAATGAATGAATGAATCTCCCTCTCCATTTAAGAAACAGGTTTATTAGCCCAGATTCAAGTCCTACTGCCCCACAATACATTAAAAGAACAAGAGTGCTATCACCACCATGGTTATTTGACACCAGAAGCAAGTAAACATTGTGAGATTCCAACAGTTAGTGATATAATTCCAACTAAGAGTGGAATTCTTAGTTACATTACCAACTAGCTACATTACTACTCAACAAGGTAACATCATCATCATCATCATGTTATCTAGTTGAGTAATGAAACATTCACAGGCCAGCAACCATAGAAAAGACTGAGAACTCCAGGGTTTAACCCTTAGTAACGAATATTTATCAAGAAATTAAAAGACGCTTGCTCCTGGGGAGGAAAGCTATGGCAAATATAGATAGCATACTAAAAAGCAGAGACATCACCCTGCCAACAAAAGTGCATATAGTCATAGCTATGGTTTTCCCAGTTGCAATGCATGGCTGTGAAAGTTGAACCATAAGGAAGGATGAGTGCCAAAGAATGGAGGCCTTTGAACTCTGGTGCTGGAGAAGACTCCTGCGAGTCCCTTGGACTGCAAGGCGATCAAACCGGTCAGTCCTAGAGGAGATCAACCCTGACTGCTCTTTAGAAGGCCAGATCCTGAAGAGGAAACTCAAATACTTTGACCACCTAATGAGAAGGACTTCCTAGAGAAGAGCCAAATGCTGGGAACGATCGAGGGCAAAAGAAGAAGGGGACGGCAGAGAAGGAGGTGGCTGGATGGAGTCACTGAAGCAGTCGGCGTGAGCTTAAATGGACTCTGGGGGATGGTAGAAGACAGGAAGGCTTAGAGGAATGTTGTCCATGGGGTCACAATGGGTCGGACACAACTTCGCAACTAACAACAAATATTCTTTTCAATTGGAATCTCGAGTATTACTGTTCCTTCAATGGGACTGACAATGGAATTCAGCTACACGCACACATTTTTGGGGGGCCCTCTGTGATGGCTAAACATTGACACAACTCCTTGCCGTTCTAAGCCAGAGAATACCCAATGTTGTGAGTACAATACAATAGGCACATCAAGCAACCTTTTGGAGCTTGTGGAGACCTTCCAAAAGGCCAGGAGACAATGAAACATCTTGAAATTTTCCCCTATGCCTTGTTACAGTGGGTCTTGGCCTAGCTACAAAGGGTGAGCCTCAAACGGTTAACATTCCCCATCCTTACCATAAAAATATGTTCAGCTAAATCAAAGGGAAACTGTGCTTCCTATCATTTTCTAATCTACCAATGCCACCTGAGAACTAAACCCTAGTAAAGACATCAGTGAATAAGAGGACAGATACGCAGACTCCATTGTCTTATCTCTGTCAAGGTCATCTTCCTTATTCTCTAAGTATGTCATGAGGGATCCTTGGTGCTCTCTGAGCTTGCTTGTTTTCTCGCAAACGTTTCATTACCCAAACTAGGTAACATCATCAATGCTCCTCTAGATGCAGTGAATAGAATAACAGAGTTGGAAGGGACCTTGGAGGTCTTCTAGTCCAACCCCCTGCCCAGGCAGGAAACCCTACACCACTTCAGACAAATGGTTATCCAACATCTTTAAAACTTCCAGTGTTGGAGCATTCACAACTTCTGGAGGCAAGTTGTTCCACTGATTAATTGTTCTTAACTGTCAGGAAATTTCTCCTTAGTTCAAAGTTGCTTCTCTCCTTGATTAGTTTCCACCCCATTGCTTCTTGACCTGCCCTCAGGTACTTTGGAGAATAGCTTGACTTCCTCTTCTTTGTGGCAGCTCCTGAGATATTGGAAGACTGCTATTATGTCTCCCCTAGTCCTTCTTTCCATTAAACTAGACATACCCAGTTCCAGCAACTGTTCTTCATATGTTTTAGCCTCCAGTCCCCTAATCATCTTTGTTGCTCTTCTCTGCACTCTTTCTAGAGTCTCAACATCTTTTTTTACATTGTGGTGACCAAAACTGAATGCAGTATTCCAAGTGTGGCCTTACCAAGGCATTATAAAGTGGTATTAAGACTTCACGTGATCTTGATTCTATCCCTTTGTTTATGCAGCCCAAAACTGTGTTGGCTTTTTTGGCAGCTGCTGCACACGGCTGGCTCATATCTAAATGGTTGTCCACTAGGACTCCAAGATCCCTCTCGCAGTTACTACTATTGAGCAAGGTACCACATATACCGTACCTGTGCATTTTGTTTTTCTTGCCCAGTGGTGGGATTCAAATAATTTAACAACCGGTTCTCTGCCCCAATGAACCCTGCCCCCCCATTTTGGGCCTAGTAGGCCTCCCTGCAGCCTCCTGGGAGCAAAAACGGGCCGCAGGGAAGGGACACTGCACCCCACTGTGCCCCATTTTGGGTCTAGTAGGCCTCCCTGCACTTACCTGGGAGCCAAAATGGGGTGCGTGGGAACTCCTAGAAGGTGCGGGGAGGGGCAGGACCAGCCAGGAATTTAACTACCGGTTCACACAAACCGGCCCAAGCCAGCCGAATCCCACCACTGTCTAGATGTTGTTACCTAGTTTGGGTAATGGAACATATGCAAGAAAACCAGCAAGCTGAGAGAGCACCAAGGACCCAACTCATGTCAACCCTGAGCGACAAATATTTTCCCTTATTACCAGTAGTATGTTCAGCCATCCTCAAGAGTTCTCTTTCTGGTTCTGTAAATTAAATGGGGAAACATATGCAAATAACCATTAGCCACTGTTCAATGGTGAAAGGAAAAGCCAGACGCTCCACAATAATGACCCCAAGGAACATTTTTAGTCGATGAGTAAGGAGCCGCTTTTGGAAAAACAAAACCCGACCTTGATCTAATAAATCAAACACATTTTTTTTTATTACTTGAGCCCCAGTGTTTTAACTGTAGCAGCATTTCAAAACACATTTTTGTTCTGCTGGGCATAAATGTGTGTTTGTGTGTGCACGCGCATAAGCATGATTGTATATATACACGTACAAACATTCCTGGTAAAAAGTCTACATTGGTAAATTTATAAGAAGGCAATTTTCAAACGGCAAATGTCAGCTTTCCAAAAAAAAAAAAAAAAAAAATCACTTTAAAAATGTGCGTCTGTAGCGTGCAAAGCAGCGGAATCCGTACTTCGGCATTTGCAGAATCTCGCTTCACTTTTTAAAAGGCCTTTGGCGGGAGCAGCTATTGGATGCCGTTATCTTAGTAGAGCAGGGGTGTCAAACTCTATGTCAGGTTTCAATGTCATCTCAAATAAATTGCACTCCCAAACAATTAATCTTTGCTGAAATATTCCATTTATTGACTACGACAGATCTGGCCCCGACTTCGTCGTAGCCGATACTAACCCTCTGACCCCCAAACCCTTCCCGTTCCCCAATTCTCATCTTCTCATTGGCCATCTTCCAAGTCAGTCTCCCCAGCTTCTGACCTCACCCCACAGGAATGTTCCCCCCTCCCATCTCCTAGGGGATATTATCTACAGAGAAAATAAGTAGGTGAAAAGTCAAGCCTCGTCTTTTTATGGCAGCATCAGAATGCTGACACTCTATTTCTTTGAGGGCCACATCAAGGTTGTGTTCGACCTTGGGGGGCCAGAGTGGGCATGGCCAGGATGGGCGTGGCCAGCTCAATGTCACTCGTGTCGGGGGCACCTGTGGTGGTCCAACCGCTCTGTCAGCAAAAACGGGCTCCCGAGCTCCGTTTCGGCTGCGACGGCCTCCTGCAGCCCTCTGTCAGAGAAAACGGAGCACGGGAGGGCCACACACAGTCCTTCCAAGCTCCGTGTCAGGCCTGGAAGCCATCTTTTACATTACTTGGAATCCTGACACTCCGTTTTTGCTGGCTGAGGCACCACAGACCGTTCCTTCGCTATTTCCTGGGTAGCCCTGTGGGCCAGATCTAAGCACCCTGTGGGCCGAATCCAAGCACCCCGGGCCTAGAGTTTGACACCCCTGTAGTAGAGAATTCTAGCCCAGCACACAGTGGGACTCAATACAACAGAGCAAAAAAGGATGATTCAGAACGCCAACCTAAGCATTTTAAGTACTACAGATAGTCCTCAACTTACGACCCCAATTGAGCCCAAAGTTTCTGTTGTTAAGCGAGACGTTTGTTAAGTGCTCCGTTTCTACGACCTTCCTTGCCACAGTTGTTAAGCGAATCGCTGCAGCTGGTTAGTAACATGGTTGTTTAGCGAATCTGGCTTCCCCATGGACATTGCATGTCAGAAGGTCGCAAAATGGGGATCACATAACCTCGGGACGAAGCAACTGGCATAAATATGAACCAGTTGCCAAGCGTCTGAATTTTCATCATGTGACCAGGGGGAATGCTGCAAAGGTCGTAATAGTGAAAAACGGCCATTAAGTCAAATTTTTCAGTGCCGCCATAACTTTGAAGGTCACTAAACAAGCTATTGTAAGTCGAGGACTACCTGCATTGTGTATTCAGTTGTGCATTTTTTGTGGTTGCTGCTGCTGTTAGAAAAAAGTTACCAACCCACTCAGAATTCAGACAGGCCTTGTCTTCGCCCACTGTGAATTTTGCCTGCAAATACTTCAAGTCCAACATACTTCAGGGTAACACTTACGCATTCGGATTTAGCTTATAAGCACATATTTTTTTTAAAAAAAAACAATTCAGGGACCTCATTCAAGACATTGATTTGAAATCAGTTCCTCCTTACTGAGGAAAGATTAGCAGGTTGCATTCTGAGCAGGCCAAAGTGTGCTAAATCTGAGACTGTCCCCATAAATTAGGCAACGATGAGAAAGGTTTAGAAGGAAAAAATAGCTCACCCAGATAGAGAGCAACTAAACTATATCCTGTTCCTTCCACCGCTAACTCATAGTCACTCTCGTACATATCACCATCTATGTTCAATCCAGTCCACTTTTGGGAAGAAGATTCTATGTAAGAACCTTGGTGGGTACCTTATTTGGGGAGTATTTCTAAGGCCAAAAAGCAGCACGGAGGGGAAAAGGGGAATTGTCCCAAAATCCCACCTCCCCATTATTCGTTTTGTGTTTTAAAGTTAGACTTTTCAATCTGACACTGTCGAAGAACAGTTCTATTTAACGACACTGGTTTGCTATTTTTGTTTTTCTTGAACAAACTGGGAGTTGGTCCTTAAGTACAATGAATCAGCGTTTCTTCAAAATTAGGAACTTGAAGGTGTGTGGACTTCTGGAAGTTGAAATCCCCCCATCTTACAATTGCCAAGTTTGAAAAACCCTGATTTAAACCTGGTTCTATGTCAACTTGCAAAGCTTTCAAGTTGCCATGAACAGGAGGGAGGGAGAACTGAATTCCATACATTCTTCCTGACCGCAATCAGAAGGAGGGTGTTAGGTTTCACAGCCAGCCAAAGTGGTTAATTGGAGAATGTGATTTGTGACATGGCCAGAGAGGAGGGGAGAGACAGGGTCATAGGGGAACGTAAATCTACGTGGGATCAGTCCTAACTGCATCCGAGTATTGCCGGAATGTTGCTCCTAATAAATGACTGTATTTCCTTTGAAGTTTGGATCATGGCTCATGAATTAATTAGGGCATCTTTTGGAAACTTTACATTCTGCTTCTTCTTCTTTTTCTTTTAACCTTTCAAAGCCTGCAAATATAATGTAATGACTTAAAACCAAATGGCGCTGTAAATTCTGTATTTGGAATAGAACATAGCTGGTTATGAAGACATTTTTTTCTCTCAAGGCTGGCTGGGAATTCTCCACTGCAATCCTAGGCCCAGTTGGGGGGGGGGGAAGCCCAGTTGGAAAATATTGATGTCAATCTTTACAATATTTACTGCAAGCAGTAGTATTTCCTGAAGTCCCCAAGGAAATATTTCTTGAGTTATTGTTTTGTTTCATTTCCATCGGGGCTAGGAAACTACATTTTCTGAAAGCATCCTGATCTAAGTAGTCAACATTTGCAATTCAAGCTTTAAGATTTAAGTTTCTGCCCTTACGCACAAAAGGAGATGAGTAACTCATCAGATAACCCTGGACACCATTCCAGTGGTGAAATCCTCCGAAGTTTGCTACTAGCTTGCTGTGTGCGCGCAGCGCTGAAAAAGGAGGCTTAAGAAGATAAATAGAACAGCGAGAGGGGGATGGAACAGCTGTGCCGCATGATTTAGATTCGCTAGAAAGCAGGATTTCTAAACAGGATTTAAATCGCACGGCACAGCTGATCGTCGGAAATACCAGTTCAGGCGAACTGGTAGCATTTTTTTACTATCAGTTCGCCGGAACTGATCTAAACCAGTAGCATTTCACCCCTGCACCATTCCTATTAAATGCATGGCGTGTGCAAGGACAGGTTATTTGTAAAAACCTTTGCCTTAGAACAGGGGTCTGGTACTGGGCCATGGCATGCCAGAAACCGGGCCACGCAAACAAGCAAAGCCCCATCCGTGGGATGCAGGCAGCACACAAAACCACGTCCCCTCCAGCCCAAGGAAAAACCTCTCTCCACGGAACCTGTCCCTGGTGCCCAAAAGGTTGGAGGCCGCTGTCTTAGAATATTAGTTAGCATAGTTAGTTTTCATAGCGGCACTCCTGATTTGTCCCAAGTGCTAAAATTACTCTATTCATCTTCATTTTAATCGATCAAGTACCTGAAAAGGGATGATCACAGATGCAAAATTTCACCGTCATTTCTCTTTTTTCTTAACTTTGGAGGTAAGCTGGACTTGAAACCCTTCCTACACTAAGGGTTTTCAATGCCAAAATGGAACACCAGCGAATGGCTGTCAGTATTTTTGGGAGAAGCAATTTGAGGCAAGCTTTATTGCAGCAATGTAAACCTGATGCCCCCATTCCTGAGCACGTCTCTTGAGTATTCATTTACACACGAGTGCAATCAATATACTTGTGTATCATAGTACGTCTGGCTTAGGGGTAGAGAGAAGGGAGGCCCGAAGGGAAGCAGAGCTTTGGTGAGAAGTAGAAATAAATTAAAGAGCACAATGACAATCCAAAAATGAGATGCAATTCATTGGAGCACCTTCAGAGGTTTAACACCCGCTAAAGCGTGGCCAAAGAAAAGGCTTTTGAATGGTTATTATCAGAAGCAGCCCAGTTCAGACATGCTTAAGAAAGGGAAAATGTAACATAAAACCTTTCCAGACCATCTGGAGGGGATTTTGTGTGTGTGCGCGTGCGTGTAACAGTGACAAAAGTCAAGGTGACATCCATAGCTGTTGCCACACAAACAAGACCAAACTCCTTTTTGTGCGTATTTCAGCATCCCATCTACACAAAGAGACTGTTCATTGATCATTAAGAGCCATAATCTGAATATTTCTGACCCCAACCCCCATCTGTCCCACACAGACACCCCCGGTCTGAAATCCCTTCAAGTACATTGGAAGGAAAAGAAGAAAAAAAAAACATTTGACAGCCAGTATAATATCAGACCAGATGTGCTCGGCGCTATTCTAGTTTAGGAGGAAAATACTCTTCTTACCAATGGAAACAACAAAAACAGTAAAGCCCTTTAAAATTCACAAAGCAGTCACCCTGGCACGATCATCTTTTTTTTTTTCCCCTTAAAAAAATAATAGAAAAATAAAGGATAAACATTATCCATCTATTTTATCCATCGCGTAATTGTCTCTGTTCGGTTTAAAGGCATTAGTCTTTTGGGAAAAGCTGCCCATAGCTGAAGCATTTGTCTTCCCCCCCCCCACCCCGATACGCAACCCTCCCCAGCTTAGCCCCCACCTCCCCCAAGCATTCCAGTGAAAAAATAAGTACAAACTTGTACAAATCTCATCACACTTATCAACACCCTAGAAAACTATAAATACAGGTCTAAAAGAATAAACATTTTGATTTAGCAAAAGCAGGAGGAAGATGGGGAGAAAGAGCCATCTCCTCTCCAAAAGAACATCCTTTGGTGCACGCGCACACACAAACACAGGCGTAATCCAGTCAGGGATCCACCAGCTATCTTTACAAATGGCCATAAAGAACCTGGTGAGGTTTACACACACACACACAGAGAGAGAGAGAGGCCGACAGCTTTCTCAGAGATTTTGTCTACAGTTGCTCCGGGGCGATCCCTCAGCAAGGAGCGCCTTTCTTCAATTGGCGTTTGGTAAGGACGTACTTGAAAAATTCATAGACGGACCAGGCGATGGCAGTTGAAGGCATCTGGTAGATCACACGTGCTTGGACGCCCTTAAAATACCCGGTGACCCCTCCCAGTTGGTAGACTGTTCTAAAGGCGTTGGCCATGCCAGAGAGGTGCCCGCTAATGTTGACAGAACTCAACACCAAGTTCTCCTGAGTGTTGAGCAAGGTCTTGCAAACGTCTAAGGGGGTCGTGGCCGCCGCTGCCACGGCTCCCGCCACGGCCCCCGAAACGATGTGCGAGCGAGGGTTGTATTGTCGCTGGGGGTTGATTTGCTCCTGCATGAACTCGTAGGTCATAAAATGGATGGCTTGGAAAGGGATGTTCATGGTGAGCTGGGTGGTGTAGCTGCGGTAAAAGGCCCCCAAGCCTTCAGTCCGATGCACCGAGCGGATGCATTCCGTGACTGTCTTGTGCGGAGAATTGTACATCTGCATGCGTTGCTTCACGACTGGCCATCAGGAGATCAGGCGTGGCGCGCGTCCCCGGATGGAAAAGGGAAGCAGAGCGAAGGAACAACAAGAGAGACAAGAAACAACAAAAAGAAATCCAAGTTAGATCAAGGTCACACGCTTGAGTGGAAGATACCCATTCCTGAAGGGCCACCTGGGAGCAGAGCAGGAAAGTTGCAGTGGCCGTGTGATTTATCACTTGCCTAATCCCGCTGCACCAATTCGAATCTTTTCCAAGCAAAGGACAGAGAATAGTGCCTCTTTTTAAGGTTGGCTGGGATGCTTTCTCCCCCACTGCCATATTGCAAGCACATTACAAATGTTACAAATTTTAGCAAGGGGTTCTCTGACCGGTTGCTGGGTGGGCGTGGCCATGGTGGGCATGGCCTAGTCGGCCTCCTGCGTTTTTGCCCTCCCCGGACTCCGGAGGCTTTCCTCGAGCCTCTGGGAGGGTGGAAACGGCCTCCCCAGGCTCCAGGGACCCTCTGGAAGCCGGAAATGGGCCCAAACTTCTGGTAGGCCCGTTTTTTGCCCTCCCCGAGCCTCCGCGCATGCCCTGCACTTACCTGCATCCAAAATGGGCCGTGTGGGGGACTTCTGGGAGGGGTGGGGTGGGCGGGGCCAGCCAGGAGTGGGATTTGGGGGTTCTCCGAACTGCACAGAAACTTAGCTAGAGGTTCTCCTGAACCGTTGCGAATCCCCCAGCAGCCCACCCCTGATTACAGGCCTCCTTTCATGGAGCAGAGAGTTGTTCTTGGATATGAGGAGAGGAGAAACTATTGGCTAAAATGCTCTCTTCATAATTATATCAGAGATATCACTAGGGGATAATATTTTTAGCGCAGGGTTGAACTGAGGGGGTCCTTGGTGCTCTCTGAGCTTGGTTCTTTGCAGATGTTTCACTACCCAACTGGATAACCTCATCCACACATCTGCTGATTTTACTTAGTTGAGTAAGGAATTGTGTGCGAGAAAACAATCCATCTCAGAGATTACCAAGGACCCCCCATTATCTTTCTGATCATCTCTAGGAAGAATTTCTTTTGCTAGGCAGTCCTCCACTTACAACAGTTCATTTAGTGACCAATCCAAGTTAAAATGGCAATGCAAAAAGTTATTTATGACCATTTTTCACTCTTATGACCGTTGCAGCATCCCCATGGTCATGTGATTTACATTGAAAAACTTGACAACTCACATTTATGATAGTTGTAGTGTCCCAGAGTCATGTGATCCACCTTTGTGGCCTTCTGACAACCGAAGTCAACGGGGAAGCTAGATTCACTTAACCGCCAGGTTACCAATTTAAGAACTTCAGTGAGTCACTCAACCAAGGTGACGAGAAGTCGTAAAATGGGCCAAAACTCACGTAACAAATTTCTCACTTAACAACCTAAATTTTGGGCTCAATTGTGGTTGTATGTTGAGGACTACCTGTATGCTTCTTATAACCCTATGACAGTGATGGCTAACCTTTTTCTCATTGTGTGCCAAAAGCATGCACATATGTGACAGCGCACACGTGTGACAGCACTCATAATGCAATGTGTCCCCTGCGCATGAGTGCATGACCCCCCCCCCCGCTCCTTCCACCTCCCCCACACATGCATACGTGATCCCCCACGATGCCCCTGCCTCGGTGCGTGCAATCCCCTGCCGTTTTTGGCCTAGCAGGCCTCACTGCAGCCTCCTGGGCCCAAAAACGGGCTGTGGGGAGGAGTGCCCTCCCCGTGCTCTGCCCCCGCCCCCTACACATGTGCACGCGACCCCCACTCCCTGCGCATGTTGTGACCCCCTTGCATATGTGTGTGCGTCTCCTGCATGTACCCCGGCCCCCGTGCATCCTAAAAATCAGCTGGCCGGCAGCCTGCGCGGATCATGGCTGATCCTGACGACAAGGAGGCTGGTGTGGGGTCGTGCCAGCAGCCTGTGCAGCCAGCGCTCGCGTCGGACAGCGAGGAGGCCGAAGAGGATGTGGTGCCAGAGGCAGAGACTCAGCCAGGGCCTTCAGAACCTCCAGAGGCTCCTTCAAGTGGAGAGAGCGAAGTGGAGGAGCCTCTCCTCAATGCTCGAGCACGCAGGGCTGCCAAAAGGCAGGAGTGGCTACTCAGGAGGAGGATGTCTACTCGAGAGTAGAGCTTGAGGATAATTGGCCACTCCCTTAGCCTATTTAAGTCGCATGCAGCTAGTGCTTTCTTGCTGGAAACAACGTCTCATTACTACAGAGCATCTTGGAGAGCAAGCGACTTCTCATATCTGGTTTTCTGGACTGACTGCCAACCTTTGTTGGACTTTGTTCATAATAACTTTAATAAGGACCCTTTCCACGGGAAGCCTGCATTCTTGAAAGGGCTTTGTTTGGAATGAAACAGTGTTTGCGAAGCTTGGTGTGTGTCACATTCTCTGGGAATCCGAAGCTGGGGCAGAACACCATCACGGCCCTATGATGTTAAAATAAATTCCGTATATCTCTCTTAGAAACTTCTGATAGCTGATATGGAACCCCGATGGGCAATATAATGCATATCTCAGATAATTTTTTAATTATCCTTCCCTTCTCTCAGCCTCACTGGGCCAATTGCCCCCCCAAAAAAGCATTACCTTCTGCTGGATTCATGACACCATCGTGAAGAAGTGTAGCCATACTCCCAGCCATGCCTGCAAAAGAAGAAACCAAGACAGGCCCCTTTCACAAAGCAAGTTTTGACAAGCCATCCTTGATCCTGAGCACAAAACTGCATCCCCTTAACGATTAGCACTCAAGCCTCCAGGCTCATTATGCCTCTTGCAAACCAACCTAACATATTGCAGATCGTTTGAAAAAGAACATACAGTATCACAGAAGTACACATCCTAAGAGTCACATACAAAAGGAATATAAAGAATTGCATTTAACAGCTGTGAAACAATTTCTTTTAAAAAAAATCTGAAGGTACCAAATGAAAACCTCCACAATAACAATTTTTAAAAATATCTAAATAAATTTCCATGAACTTACCAACAGCATGGCTGGGAAGAATAAAAGGTTTTCTTTCTCATTTTTTTTTTTAAAAAAAGAATATGTTGCCTAGTTTTACAGATGCTAGAAATATACAACGTGGAGCTATGTTATTGCTGGCAGCCAATCAGAACTCCTTCCAAAATTACCATTAAATTAGAACTTTCAGTGCCGATAGAGAATGTCAGCTGGCATTGTGTTTTCCCTAACCTCACCCACTGTAGCGGCCCTTCAGCAAGTTACTCAAGTTCAGTAAAGAAAAACTTTGCTATATATAACCAGAAATATAACCATTTGAACTCAATTATCAGTCATAACATATGACAAAAAGATTTCCTTTGTGGTGGCAGAGAACATTTGCAATTGCCTTAATAATGACAGCAAAAAACTATTACTGGTGTCCAATCTTGTCAACTGTAGGATTTGAGGACTTCAACTCCCATGCTGGGAAAGAAAGAAAGAAAGAAAGAAAGAAAGAAAGAAAGAAAGAAAGAAAGGAAGGAAGGAAGGAAGGAAGGAAGGAAGGAAGGAAGGAAGGAAGGAAGGAAGGAAGGAAGGAAGGATAAGGAAGGAAAGAAGGAAGGAAGGAAAGAAGAAAGGAAAGAAGGAAGAAAGGAAAGAAAGAATAAAAGAAGGAAGGAAGGAAGGAAGGAAGGAAGGAAGGAAGGAAGGAAAGAAGGAAAGAAGGAGGGAGAGAGAAAGAAAGAAAGAAAGAAAGAAAGAAAGAAAGAAAGAAAGAAAGAAAGAAAGAAAGAAAGAAAGATCCAGGAAGCTGCAAGGAGGCCTACTAGGCTCAAAACATGGGGCAGGGGGGCGGCTCCCCTCCCGCGGTCTGTTTTTGCTCCTGGGGGGTGTAGGAGGCCAAGTGCTGCCTGTCACACCCCCTGGCCATGCCCACCATGGCCATCCCATCCAGCTAGTCATTAGGGCAGAGAACCAATTGTTAAATTATTTGAATCCCACCATTGCGCCTCCACCTCTCACCCACCACTATGGCAACAGATCACATGAGCCATTTAATGGGCTCCATCCCGCTCTGGGTTTCCCAGGCCCACTGGCAGAAGCAGGTCTTCAGTGCCTTCCAGAAAAGTATTAGAGTGGGGTCCGTTCTAATCTCTGGGGGAATGATGTTCCAGAGAGAGGGAGCCACCACAGAGAAGACCCTTCCTCTGAGTCCCACCAGGTATATCTCCCTCGGGGATGGGACCCACAGCATTCCCTGCCTTCCCACTCTGATGGGTTAGGTAGATGTGACTGGCACGAGATGGTCCCTCAGATCACCTGGTCTGGGAGTTGAAGTTTACTTCAATTCTGGGAGTTGAAGTCTACAAGACTTAAAGTTACCAAGGTTGGACATCTCTGCTGTGGATTAATGCACTGAGAAACAATTGACAAATGCTAATATAATCTTAATTAATGGAAAATAATTTAATCTCAAGGATTCACAGGGCAATTGAGCATTCCTCTTCAAGATCAGGGATCTATATCCTTTTTTTCCTTCAATCTAACAAACACTCTCTATATGGAAAAAACTTACGATTATTGAAATAAAATGTCAACTATCCATGTAAAATTCATAATCCCACTCGTGCATCTTTAAATCAAACTGAGCATAAGAACAGCACTCAGCACCCTTCATTAAAATTACCGTATTGTTCGGAGTATAAGATGCACCTTAGTTTTGGGGGAGGAAAATAAGAAAAAAAAAAATTCTGCCTCTGCCTACCAGCATCCATCAGTATTCATCTGGATAGCATCCTGTCAGTGTGTGAGATTGTTTGAAAACTGAAACAGTATTTGCTGTGTGAGCAACAAGGAAGGAGACAGCAAGGAGCCTGGGCATGGCTTAGGTCAATTGTTCTAAAGCTGCATGCTGTGCTGATCTCTGAAACTAAAACTGAAACTGAAACTCCTCTCCTCCGCTTGTGTTTTGCTTGCTGCTGCAAACTCTGACAGTCCTTGCAGCAAATAGTGAACAGCCAGGTCAGCTTCAGCAAATTATTGCAGCCTGATTCAGCATGAGCAGCTGATTGGCGGGTGGATCAGCCTCCCTCAATACCCCCAATCAGCTGTTCCAGGCTGCAGGGATTGCCATAGACCATCACCTCCTCCATGCCTCGTGTATTTGGCTACATTTGGCATATAAAATGCACCCAAATTTTCACCCTCTTTTAGGGGGGAAAAATGTGTCTTATATTCTGAAAAATACGGTATATTGAACTTCGAATTATTAATCTTGCATAACCCCAAATTCTGCATTATGTAGAAAGGCCACATGACCAAATTTAAAAATGTTCTATCTCAAGAGAAAAAAAAAAAACTTTACTTGAAATTATTTCTCTTGGAAATAAAACAATTATCTCTTTCCAGTATTCCAAAGTTAAGCCATGGAGGATTACCCACTAATTCCTCCTACTTTGGTCTACTTCTTGGAGGGCAAAATAAAAAAAAAATTAATCTGAAACTCTATTCTGATCAGTTAGAATGTTTTCTCTCTTATCCACAACATCAACACTACAAAAGATGCATTCAGACAACTTGCCTTTTTAAAGTAAATCATTATACAATGAAAGCTCCGGGAATATCACATTATTGTGTGGTATTCATTGTTCTTAAGCAAAGAGAAACAGGCATCATCTTGAAAAATACATATTATTAATACTGATGGATGCTAAGAACATTATAAACAATTTCTTAGACTGTGCCACTTTAAATACCGTAATTATAATCACAAGTTAAGCCAATAACATTGAAGAAGACTTTGGTGTGAGACAAGGAGGAGTGCCTTGTTTATTACCATCTCAGACGGAAATAATCTCCAGAAAAAATCACTAATCCAGGTTGACCTCCAAGGACTTCTACCAGTGAGGCAACTATGGTGAAAAGCAGTACCACCCTGGCCCCAAAAAGAGCATCTTCAAAAAAATGGGAGTGATTCCCTCAAACTGAAGATGGTACTTTGATCTTCTTAATATGCCTACGCATCACATATTACCTGTTCCAGGCACATAATTCAAACTTTAGGTCCTAACATCCTACCAGAAGGAATACTGCAGGTCACCTCTCCGAAGAAGGCGAATCTAGTGGGACCAAGAAGTAAGGCATCCAACATGGTAGCATGTTGAATAAGATTGGTATGTTGCCCCCAACAATCTGGGTCTTCATTTTACCGACCACAGAAGGATGGAAGGTTAAGTCAACCTTGATCCGGTCAGAATTGAACTCCTGGCTGTGGGCAGAGTTAGCTTACGATACTGCATTCTAACTACTGTGCCGGCATGGCTCAATTAACTGCCTATCTAAGGAGATTACAACTCTGTATTTCTTGTATATTAAGAGAAGTGCACCCTTTTCGATTTCAGTGTCTTCCAAGCAAACAGGATTTTGGAGGCATACATTTAAATATTAGCAACCTACTGATTCTTTCATTCAGTGCCAAGAAGATCTAAATAAAACAAACAAAGTTCAGTGAAAAGCTATTTGTGTTAATTGGAGGATAATAGAAATGCAATTAGATGCATATTTGCGAACTGCCGATTAGGAGACTGCAGAATTTATTCTAGCGCACAGTTTGCTACGAAGCACATAATAAGCATCAACGTGGATCCTAAAAGCAGAAATTCCAATTATAGAACCAATATGCCTCTGAGTGTCATATGCTGGAGAGAAAGACTGGTAAATTTTTAAAGACAGCTGGCTGATTATTATAGGAAGTAAAAAATGTCGGACCAGAGGTGGAGATTGGAGTGACCCAAGCCAGCTTGTAATTTTACATTCTTGGCAGCACAGCCAAATATGGTAAGATTTAGCAGTGACAAAACAGATTTCTGGAGAGAAGCGAAACCCGAAATCTAAGAACCAAATTTTCCTAGAAAGCTGCCCATGTTAAGACCGACAAGCTATTTCAGACAACTCCTTCCCAGAGCCCAATCAGAGGTATTTAGGATCAAAACACTTTAACATCTAACTTTTAGAGGAACTGGAGCACTACGTATCTTCGGTATTCTTCATACGTGCGTGCCTCTAAAACTGAGCAGGTGCCTGTAGGAAATAGACAAGAAGTTGAACGTAGCAAGAACGCCTTGGTTGCCAAAGATGGAGTCTTCCAAGCGTCTTGTTTTTTTGTCTCTCCAGAAGCAGAAATTGCATGCTGAAGATGTCAGACCACATGAAAAAGTACGCAAGTCGAGTCAAAGCGCCAAGAGGGCACCCATTGGGTTATGTCAATATACCATTGGCCAGGTGGCTGTTGCCTCCATGTTGTATAATGTCACTTAAAGTGCGTTTCATTTTTTCGTAGCAGGCAAAGTACAAGGCGTGGGCCGGGCCGGCTCCCAGGACGGTGACGTTAATTCCTCGCAGCGGCCTCCAGAGGCCTTCCGTGCGGACGATCTTCCTCAAAGCCTCAAAGACGCTCCGGTACTGAGCTTTGGGGTCGGGTTGCAAACTCTGCATCCGAGTCTACAAGAAGACAAAATGGAAGAGGGATGATGTACAGGAGCAGAGAGAGGCTCGAGGCCAGTGATGGCTAACCCATTTTTTTTTTTTTGAAAAAGTTTTTATTTTTATTTCTTATACACATATTGTAAATGTACATTCTCTTATCCATAACTAATCATACATATACATACTTTTCTAAAGAAAGCATAACAGTAAAACATTTTAATTGCATTCGGGGTTGCTCTTCTACCGTTTCTGTCCCCTCATTTTACAACAAACCTTCTTCTCCTTCTTCTTTCTTTCCCTTCTCTACCTCCTCTCCTCTCCTACTTTCTTCCTTCCTCCTCTCCTTCCTCTTCCCTACTTCCCCTTCCTTTCCCCCACTCCTCCCCTCTTTTTCCCCCTTTCTAACCTTCTCTCCTACTCTTTTCCCCTATCTTTTCTTCCTCTCCTTTCCCCTTTATTTTATTTTATTTTTTTATTTTATTTCAAATTTATATACCGCACCTTCTCTCGAAAGACTCAGGGCGGTGTACAGCCAGATAAAAACATACAATACAAACATTAAAAAACAATTAAAAGGATATATATTAATTTGGCCCCAGTTTAAGATAGCGAACCAATTAAAAATTAAAAATATATTAAAAAATATGTTAAGCCAGCCCGGCTTGCTGGAAAAAGAAGGTTTTAAGGGCACGGCGGAAGGCACCGAGGTCTTGGATTCTCCTTATCTCTGGGGGCAGCTGATTCCAGAGAGTAGGTGCCCCCACAGAGAAGGCCCTCCCCCTGGGGGTCACCAGCCTGCATTGTTCTTCCCTTCCTCTCTCTCCCTCTCCTCTTCTATCTTACCCTTTCCTCCTCTCTTCTTTCTTTCTTCTTTGTTGTCTAATATTTCCCCTATTTGATATCCCAGCATCCCCAATTTTATATTAATATCTACTTTCTTTCCAATTTCCTTTCAATTTTGCCTAATCTATCTCTTCTATCCTCATAATTGTACATTTATATTAAAACATTCATTCTTCCCCCACCCCCATCGATGGCTAACCTTTTTGTCATTGCATGCCAAATGCTCCTCCTGCACCCTGAGCATGTCCACGCGACCCCCCTCTGCCCTGTTTTGGGCCTAGTAGGCCTCTCTGCAGCCACCTTGGAGCAAAAACGGGCCGCACCCCCACGCGCTCCCTGTGCAAGACCCCCATGCATGAGCCTGTGACCCCACTCCCCACGCATGTGAGCATGTCTCCCGCATGTGTCCCGCCCCCCTGCATGCACGGCAGAGACCCGAAAATCAGCTGGCTGGCAGGAGGCCCATGCGCATGTGGCGGTGGAGTTGAGCTGGGGTGACGGCTCACGTGCCCGCCGAGAGAAATCCGCGTGCCCTCAGAGAGGGCAATGCGTTCCCCCCTTTGGCATGCATGGCATAGATTTGCCATCACGGCTCTAGGCTCCTCCTTTGGGGAGGAGACATACCTAATCTTGGAACAGCCTTCAGATAGTTCTTGACTTATAACATTTTTTTTTCAAAAAAATATGTTTTATTGATACATTTTTTTAAAATAAACATTAAAAGTTCCATATCCATCTGAACAGTGTGTTGTCTGGGCAGTTTCCAATCTGTTTCTATTACTTAGCCATTGGTAAAACGAGTCCCATGTTTAAAAGTATTCTGTTTCTTCCTTTTCTTTTCCTTTCAGTGTTAATCTGTTAACAAGAGCCTCTGTGGTGCAGCGGACTAAGTGCTGTTAAGTGCTAGCACTTAGCTGCCAACTGCCTGCAAATCTCACCAGGCTCAAGGTGAATTACCTGTACCAGCATAGAAAAAGCAGACAGGGCAAAGGAAAAATGTGGACAAAGTCCAGAGAAAACTAAATGTTACTTAACCAAATCTGAAGTTAAGCGGAATATTAAAAAAAAAACACCATGAATTAAATATAGGGAATGTGATTATTTCCCACAATGCAACGGGGGAAAATGCCTGTAAAAAGCCAAGCATGTAAAAACATGTTTTTGGAACATGCCAGGAGGGGGTGCTCCAAGCCTGCCCAGCATGGCAGTGCCATCTCCAGCAAAGTTATTGCAAGGCCCTTTGTAGCCAATATGGGTCTACAGAGAAGGAATACATACTTTGGGCACAGATCTCAGCAATGGATACCCATCTTAAGCCAAATATATAGTGGCCAGAAGTGATAATACCTCTAATGCAGTGTTTCCCAAACTTGGCTATTTTAAGATGCATGGGCTTCAATTCCCAGAATTCCCCAACCAGTATGCCTGGTTGAGGAATTCTGGGAGTTGAAGTCCATACATCTTCAAAGGGTCAAGTTTGGGAAACACTGCTCTAATGCAAACCTCTAACATGAGAAGTTAGATAGCCACTGGTTACTAATAGTTAGCAGTAATGATTTAGAACAGTGTTGGCGAATACGATTCGTCAACGGCACGTGCCGAATTTGGGCACGTGCCGGAAACCGGAAGAGCAGCCACCCAGTGCGCATATGCACGCCGGGAAGATGATCTTCCGGTTTCCGGCGTGCACATGCGCACCAGCCACGTGGTCTTCTGGTTTATGGCGCGCATGCACACACGAAGACTAGCTGGCCGGTGCCGTAAACCGGAAGATCATCTTCCCAGCATGTGCATGGTACCGGGCAGCTGCTCTTCCGGTTTACGGCATTCCCGCATGCATGAAGACCAGATGACCGGCGCACTAGAACCCGGAAGAGCAACAGGCGATGGCTAGTGTGCCTGGAGAGATGGCTCTGCGTGCCACTTCCAGCACGCGTGCCATAGGTTCACTATCACGGATTTAGAACATAGAACATAAAATAATAAGGTTGGAAGGGATCTTAGAAGTCTTCTAGTCCAAGCAGGAGAAGATCCGGACAAAGGACTATCTAATCACTTCTTGATAACTTCCAATGATGGAGCACCCACAGCTTCTGGAAGCAAACCGTTCCACTGATTAATTGCCCTCAATGTCAGGAAATTTCTCTTTAGGAGATCCAGGTTGGATCTCTCCTGATGAGCTTCCATCCATTACTTCTTATCCTGTCCACAAGGTGCTTTGGAGAACAGATAGACCCCTTCTTCTCTGGGACAACCCCCTCAAATATCAGAAAACTGCTATCATGTCACTTCTTGTCCTTCTCTTGGTTAGACTAAACCTTAAACACTCAAAGAGCCACAAAGCTCCTAACCAGAAGTTCCCCGTTCAATTCTGCAGCCGACCGGAAGTCCAGTTCCCCCACCATAGTGTCTCCTCCTAGCGCGGCGTCTTTTTTCCTCTACCTGTCCTAACCGAAAGCCCTATCAATCGTGGAGCTGATCAGCGACAGGGAGTCGCAGCAGAGGGATGAAAGAGCCACATGCGGCTCCAGAGCCACGGGTGGCCGACCCCTAGACTAAACATACCTATTTCCCTCAATTGCTTGTCATATGATTTAGTCCCCAGTAGTCCCCCTTATCGTCTTTGTTGCTTTATGTTGCTTTGTTGATGTGTCGTTGACATTGTGTCTTTCCCAGGGTGGATAAAAATCAATGATTTTTTTTAAAAAAAAATCAAAAAAATCAGATTGCTTCCTGCATCTAAAAGTCTTAAACATAAGGTGTAGATTTCAGCTGGATGTCAGCAGAAAGTCTACTAGTAGTTTTGATAACACCCAATGACTAGACTACTTTTTTTTCCCCAAGCAGAGACAGAAATATCATCCATGACAGGTGCTGTGGCTCTATGCTTCCTGCATCAAGCCATGACTGGTCTACCAGATTTAAGGCAGTCCTTTCTCCACCTCTTGTTGATTCAAAAATATCACAGCGCAGGAATGCACAAGACTAATGACTGGTGTGATTTAAATCCAAGCCGAATGCCTACAAAACTCCAGATGTCTCACCGGACATGTCCCAACAGCCTAATATCAACCTGACTAATGCAGGAGGACTATAATTCTGTTAAAAAACCCCGCTTTTGTGCTCGTTACACATGTCTGAAAATGTACAGCTCTGAACATTTTCTTCTCTGCAAGCATTAGCAGAAGATCCAACCTAATTCTTGGGCCATATGCTATAGCCAAGGCATCATCCCATTTTCTTGGGCATCACAATTCTTAGGTAACCATATAAGAAAGAAAGAGATGTCTATGGAGATTCTTAATCATCCAAGTTATAGTTGCAAAGGTGTTTTTTTTTTTTTTCCCAAAAGGTAACTGGATTTTCTTGGGTCAATAGAAGCTTAAGAAGCTTCTTGAATGAGAACCAAAACATTTTCAAGGAAAAAAAAACAAGGAAGTCCAGTTGCCTTTTATTTATTATTTTTATTATTATTATTTATTTATTATATTTCTATACCGCCTTTCTCCCGTAGGACTCAAGGCGGTGTACAGTCAAGAAAAATATAGACACACAAACATCATAAAATTGCTAATTAAAATTATTACTTAGTTTGGTCAATTAAATAAAACCCAGAATTAGATAACATTTAAAAAATCATTCACATGTTCATGTTTAGCCCCGCCTGTTGGAAAAAACACTTTGGGAGTAAAACATAGCTTCTTAGCTATGAAATCCAATTTTTTTTTTACTACCGGTTCTGTGGCTGTGGCTTGGTGGGCGTGGTGTAGTTTGGTGGGCGTGACAGGGGAAGGATACTGCAAAATGTCCATTCCCACCCTACTCCTGGGGGAAGGATACTGCAAAATCCCCATTCCCTCCCCACTCCTGGGGGAAGGATACTGCAAAATCTCCATGCCCACCCCACTCTGGGTCCAGCCAGAGGTGGTATTTGCTGGTTAACTACTCAAAATTTCCGCTACCGGTTTTCCAGAACCTGCTGGATTTCACCCCTGTTCTTAACTAATTCCAAGTTTCTGGTTTCTAACCTTTCCCCTTTCTTGGATGGTTGTTTAATAATCAAGTTAGTTATTGAGTTATCTAGCAGGCTTGGACTGCTGAACTTGTAAAATTCAAGGGAAGTTGAGCAAGTCTACTCAGTCTGGTGGGATTTCTTCAGCTTCTCTGTGTAT